AGTGGCCGGCATATCCGGCTCCTAGGCACAGGGGTGGCAAGGGAGGCTCTGTGCTGTAAGGTGTTATTGGTGTATAGTTATACCTTTGTTATGTATTATAATTAATGTTGCTGTAATTCAAAATGGAGTCTAAGAATTCAAGATGGTGCATGTGGTAGGAAGGGTTTGAACTCCATCTTGGTATCCTTTCTTCATGGCATTTTCCCGCCAAAACTCTGTTTCCTGCCAGAACTTGAGGGACTGAGAGCTGGCTGGAACCGGTTGGGGGCAGTGTCTGCCAGAGTGTGCCTCAGGAATTCGCGCCACAGAGAGCATATAAGGAACTGTTAGCGATGACGCGGTGCTGTCCACCATCGAGGCAACCACATCCAGTTTCTTTGCGCGGCATCGGAACAAGACCATCGGATCAAGAGCATTGGATCAAGACTTCGGCTACTAACACCTGCCAAGGACTTTGATACTTACCTGATTCCTGTATTCTACCAAAAGATCCAGTGAAGGCTTTGCCATTAGCCCAGATCTGTTGATCTCCTGCTTTGGCGGTAGAGAGCCAGATCCTCCGATGTTCCTGAGATTCTGAGACGGCCCATCAGTTGCCAGTGACCTCCATCTGCAGTAGAAGAGAGACAGTAATTGTTTTTTGGGCACTTAATAGTTTAACCAAGGGACGATTTAAGGCTCTGGGCTTTATGCCCCTTGCTGGAATCTATTCTTAGGTATTTGTAGTGATCCCATTAGTGAATCTTCCCCCTGTTGTAACTTTCCCTTAATAAATCATCTTTCTGTTTAAGGTTATTTTGACGGGTTTGGTCACAGAAACCCCCTTGGGACTGTCACCTGATGTGCTGAGACTACCTCTGAGCCCGTTTCCTCTGCCAGCTTGGGACTTCAGAACCCTGTCTTGTTGAGCCAGATATGCTAATCTGTTGCAACACAGACCCAGGGTCTGACCTACACCCCCAAAGCTGCAGACTTAACTGAAAACGGCTTAGCAAGTGCTCCTGTCTCTAGCACCCAGACACCCAGCTTCCAATGGGATCCAAACCCCAAATAAATCCGTTTTACTCTGTATAAAGCTTATACAGGGTAAACTCATAAATTGTCCGCCCTCTATAACACTGATAGAGAAATATGCACAGCTGTTTGCTCCCCCAGGTATTAATTGCTTACTCTGGGTTCAATAATAAACAAAAGTGATTTTATTAAGTATAAAAAGTAGGATTTAAGTGGTTCCAAGTAATAACAGACAGAACTAAGGAAGTTACCAAGTAAAATAAAACCAAACACGTCTAAGCCTTATACATTAAGAAACTGATTACAGATGAAATCTCCCCCCCAGAGATTTTCCAATAAGCTTCTTTCACAGACTGGACTCCTTCCTAGTCTAGGTCCAGCAATCACTCACACCCCCGTAGTGACTGTCCTTTGTTCCAGTTTCTTTCAGGCATCTCTTTGGGGATGGAGAGGCTATCTCTTAAGCCAGCTGAAGACAAAATGGAGAGGCATCCAGGGCCTTTTATATTCTCTCTCTTGTGGGCGGAAACCCCTTTGTTCTTCTGTGCAAAGTCACAGCAACAAGATGGAGTTTGTAGCCACCTGGGCAAGTCACATGTCCATGAATGATTCAGCTTTTTGCAGGCCGATGCCATTGTTTACATGTTAGTTTGAACATTCCCAGGAAAGCTCAGATGTGGATTGGCATCTCCCAAAGTCCATTGTCAGTTAAGTGTTTCTTGATTGGGCACTTACTGAGAATAGTCCTTTCTCAAGAAGCTGACCAAATGCTTCACTGAGGCTACTTAGAATCAAACACATTGAGATACAAGTACATAGCCAATATTCGTAACTTCAAATACAAAAATGATACACACATACAGACAGCATAATCATAACCAGCAAACTACAACCTTTCCGTAGACACCCCACTTGACCTCCTCTGTACAAGACCTGGTGCAACCATAGGACCCTGGTTGAAACAATGATCTATACAGTCACAGTTCATGTCTATAATGTCACAGTTATATTCTCTCTGTCCTTTATTTCAATACAACACGGGCGGGAGGCACACAGATTTCTAACTCTCCCAGTTGATAGATGCTGGTAGGAGTCGAACCTGTAATTTATATGTCACCTCCTTATTATTCTGTAATAGAGATTTTGGGGTAAGAGCACGCTGCCCCTTCCCTAAGCGCCAGCTTTGCTGCTCCCATTGGCCTGAAACCATGGCGAATGGGAGCTGCAGGGGCAGCACCTGCGGACAGGGGAAGCACAAAGAGCTGCCTGGCCGCCCCTGCGCCTAGGGCCACAGGGACATGTCAGCCACCTCCAGGAGCCGCCGGAGGTAAGCGCCACCCGGAGTATGCAACCCTCACCCACTCCCGCACCCCAACCCCTTGCCCTCACCCCCTCCTACACCCCAAACCTCTTATCCCCAGCCCCACCCCAGAGCCCGCATCCCCCAGCTGGAGCCCTCACCCCCTCCCACACCCCAACCCCCTGCTCCAGCCCTGTGCCCCCTCACATACCCAAACTCCCTCCCAGAGCATGCAGCCCCCCTGCACTCTGAACCCCTCGGTCCCAGCCCAGAGCCCCAAACCCCTCATCCCTGGCCCCACCCCAGAGCCCCGCACCCCGATCTGGGGCCCTCACCCCCTCCCTCACCACAACCCCCAGCCCGGAGTCCCCTCCCTCCCAGAGCCCGCACCTCCTCCTGCACTCCAAACCCTTTGGTGCCAGCCCGGAGCCCCCCCTTGCACCCCAAGCCCCTCATCCCTGGCCCCACACCAGAGCCCACACCCCTAGCTGGAGCCCTCACCCCTTTCCACTCCCCAACCCTCTGACCCAGCCCAGTGAAAGTGAGCGAGGGTGAGGGAGAGTGAGCGATGGAGGTGGGGGGGTGGAGTGAGCAGGGGTGGGGCCTTGGAGAAGGGGCAGGGCAAGGGCAGGGCCTTGGGGCAGGGGCAGGGCAAGGGTGTTCAGTTTTCTGCAATCAGAAAGTTGGCAACCCTAAGTTAATGGCAAAACTTCCATTGACTGTAGTATTGGAGAACTGGGCCCAATCAAGAACCCTTAAATTACTATTGGTATCAGCTAATGCCCCAATTGCACATGCTACATTCTGTAGGTAAACTCTGAGCCTACATGGAGCCCAACTGATTTAAATTAGGCTCTGCACGGGCACAGATGTCTAGGATTGGAGAACTCAAAGCCCCATACAGACGATGCTTACCATTTTAGGTTCAGGCCCTAAGTTAGTAACACCCAGCTGCATATGCAGGTAATGAATATTAAAATAATCCCAATATGGGGCAAGCATTCCATGTCTACCACAGGGGTGCTGGAACAATTTTTATAATGGGGGTGCTGAGAGCCATTGAACCAAACTGTAAACCCCATATATAATGGAAACCACTTCAAGCCGGGGGCGGGACAGCAACCCCAGCACCTCTAGTTCCAGCACCTATGGCAGGGATGGGCAAACTTTTTGGCCTGAGGGCCAGATCTGGGTATGGAAATTGTATGGCGGGCCATGAATGTTCAAGAAATTGGCTCCCTGCAGTGGCTGGAGCGCAGGGCCTTTTAAATCGCCTCCCGAGCCCCAGGGTAGCGGCAGCAGGGCTCCGACGGTGATTTAAAGGGCTCGGGGCTCCAGCCACTGTGGGGAGCCCCAGCCCTTTAAATCACCGCCGGAGCCCTGCCACCGCTACCTGGGGCTCAGGCAGCGGGGATCAAGCAGCGCTATAAAGGGCCGGGGTTCCTGCTGCTGTGGGGAGCCCCGGCCCTTTAAAGCACCGCTTGAGCCAGGGCCGGTGCAAGGAAGTTTCGCGCCCTAGGCGAAACTTCCACCTTGTGCCCCCCCCCCCCCCCCCCCCCCCCCCCCCCCCCCCCCCCCCCCCCCCCGCCGCCCCCCCCCCCCCCGGGGAGCCGTGCGGCAGCTCCCCACCCAAGCTCACCTCTGCTCTGCCTCCTCCCCGAACACGCTGCCCCCGCTCTAATTCTCCTCCCCTCCCAGGCTTGCGGTGCTAAACAGCTGATTGGTGCCGCAAGCCTGGGAGGCAGGAGAAGTGGAGGTGCCGCTGCGCTGGGAGAGGGAGTCTGAGCTGCATGTGTCAGCACGCCGCTGGCAGCCCAGCCCAGGAACGCTGTAAACAAAAAAAATTGGGGGCACCGCTTTTGGCGCCCCCAAATCTTGGCACCCTAGGCAACCGCCTAGTTTGCCTTCATGGTAGCACCGGCCCTGGCTTGAGCCCTGCCGCTGCTACCCCGGGGCTCAGGCGTACTGGTAAGTCCTTTAACTTACTTTCACCCCTGGGGTGCGGACTCTGGGGTGGGGCTGAGGATGAGGGGTTTGGGGTGCAGGAGGGTGCTCCGGGCTGGGCCTGAGGGGCTTGGAAGGTGGTAGGGGGATCAGGGATTGGACAGGGGGTTGGGATGTGGGGGAGGGGTCTCTGGGCTGGGGCTGAGTGTGGAAGGGGGCTCTGCGCTTGGGCAGGGGTTGGGGTGTGGGGGGGTGAGGGCTCTGGCTGGGGGGTGCAGGTTCTGGGGTGGGGCTGGGAATGAGAGATTTGGGGTACAGGAGGGTGTTCCGGGCTGGGCCTGAGGGGTTCGGAGGGTGGAAGGGGGATCAGGGCTGGGGCATGGGGTTGGGGCGGAGAAGGTCAGGGGTGCAGGCTCTGGTGTGTGCTTACCTCAAGCAGCTCTTGGAAGCAGCAGCATGTCCCCCCGCTGGCTCCCCCCAGTCATATTCTGCTGCCTTCACAATGACGATGATGGCTATCAGTTGTAGTATGCCATTTTCTGTCAAGCGCCCAGTATTTTCTGCTAAGCACCCAGAAGAGGCCGAGGGCGATCTGGGTGCTGGCAGACGTGGGGCTGGCAGACGTGGGGCTGCATTGCTACACAGCAGCAGGAGAGTTTCTCCCATTGACATAGCTACCACCTCTCAAGGAGATGGATTAACTACGAAACTCTCCCATTGGCTTAGGAGTGTCTTCACCAAGACCAACTCCTCAGAGTGTTACAGCTAAATACAAATATAACTATGTCGCTCAGGGATGTGGATTTTTCACATGTGAGCAACGTAGTTATATTGAGATAGGTCTCGTAGTTATATTGAGATAGGTCTGTAGAGTAGACCTGGCCTGAGTGCCTTTCCCAGTCTTGAAGAAGAGCTCTGTGTAAGCTCAAAATCTTACCTCTCACCAAGAGAAGTTGGTCCAATAAAAGATATCACCTCACCCACTTGATCTTAGGAACATATACTGTACATAGTGCATGTTGAACAAATCTTTTTAAGTTTTGTGCCCCAAGTCTGCAAGGTACCTAAACACATGTATAACTTGAAGCAGAGAAGTGAAGTCCTATTTTGAAGTGAAGGGGACAAAACAAGCACATGCTTAATTTCAAGCACTGATTCAAGGTCTGATCTGAGACCTGAGTTACCAAAACAATTTCACTCTGGACTTATAGTATCACTTAACATTAAACAGACATATCTTCCACTTGAAAATTAATGGAGGTTTATTATATTATTTATTATATTAATTATATTATTGTATTAATATATTAATTTTCTTCCACTTGGCTAGGAAAATCTGGAACTCTAAGTTCAATGCCAGTTTAAGGGATTTCAGGCCTTCAGAGCAGCAAATGGGACACCTGAACCTAAAGAGGGGCAGTTGTGTGAAGCCTTTCTCTTCTGTGATTTAGGGGCCCACATAATTAAAACCAAACATAAAAACTGAATTTTCACTTTAGATAAATACTAGCTGGCCTTCTCAGTTGAGCTTTTCTCAATTAAAGGAACAATTCTATATAATTCTGTTTAATACCCTTTGAGCCTGTTCCTGTGGCCCTTCTACTCACATGAGTAAGGGTAGCAGCATTGGGAGTGATCTTTGAAAGCACTTTGGTACTGCATATATAATTTATTTTCTCATAAGACACTTTGCTTACAGCATCACAATTCTGTGTATGGTAATGCGTTGTCATATATATAAAAGCTATTTTCAAGTCATGAATGTTTCCTGAGTTGAAAATAATGTTAATATAAAAATATAATATGATCAGTTCAGAAATGTCCAGTAATGTTACACAGCATGAGATCTTTCAATGCACTGTGATTTTGACTAATAAATATAAGCGTGGGGAAACCTATCACTATAACAAAGTACCCGCAACTCTAAAATATAAAATGCAATATTCACATGATTAAAATACTTTAAAAGCTATTACACCCCGTAGTGGTCATTAAGGTAGTCCAGAACCGCTGAGGTGCTTGATAAAACATTAAAAACCCTTTTTTCCTGTTTTGAAGTTATCCGTTCCATCATGTACATTAAATGATGATGAAAGCACGTAAAAGGAGTCCCATGTTCAAGAGCAATGTCAACCCAGTCCTGGATGCACTTCAAAGGTGTCTCTTCATATCCTGCAAACATGGCTGGATTAGCTAAGAGCCCCCTAGCAACCATTACACCTTCAAATGGAAAATTTGAGAAGTGTTAATATACAATTTAACTTTTAACTTTTTTATGTTTACCTGAGAGTTTTGTATAGCACCCATCACCACAGTATCTAATACTTGTGAATAGCTAACTAGAGAGCAGTAGAAGCTGGAAAGCCAATATGGCAACTGCACCCTGGGAAACTCTGTTTAACAGTCCAAATCCAAGATTACCTGTGATATTTAGAGGTCCAGCCTACCCAGCTTAATAGCACTTCATGATAGAGGATTTGAAAGAAAACACAGCATATACAGAATGGGAACTTTTCTTTCTCAGTTCTTTCCCAGTTCCTCCAGTAATATTTTGTTTTTATTAGCTGATTGACCCATAGCGAGGAAACAAATTCATCCCTTGTGTAACTCAAATGACTTAAAGAACACTTGCACTAGCTGGTGAGGCCTCGGCTGAAATAGTGCGTCCAGTTCTGGGCACCACACTTTAGGAAAGCTGTGGACAAACTGAATAATTGAGAGAACAACAAAAATGATACAAGGTTTAGTAAACCTGGCCTATGAGGAAAGGAGAAAAAAACTGGGCACGTTTAGTCTTGAGAAAAGCAGACTGAGGGGGGAACCTGGAAGACTGCAAATTTGTTAAGGGCTGTTATAAAGAGGACAGGGATCAATTGTTTTCTGTATCCACAGAAGAAGTAGTAATGGGCTTAATCTGCAGTAATGGAGATTTAGGTAAAACTTTCTAACTATAAAGGCAGTTAAGCACAGGAATAAGCTTCAAAGGGAGGTTGTAGAATCCCCACCATTGGAGGTTTATAAGAATAGGTGGGACAAACACCAATCAGGGATGGTCTATGTTTACTTGGTCCTGCCTCGGGGCTAGCGGCTGGACTTGATGACTTCTTAAGGTCCCTTCTAGCCCTACATTTCTATGACAGAGACAGACTGACTGGGGAGTACAAGGAAACAATAAAGCTGAAACTGACTGTCCTGAATTTTGTCAAGTATCTGGCTGGACAGTACTCCTCCTTCCTCCCTTTACTTGTCACAGTCACAGATCCATCTCCCACATGCAAGAGCCAAAACGGCTGCCACTGAGGCACCCCTTGTAGCAGTGGTGGGCAACCTGCGGCCCATCAGGGTAACCTGCTGGTGGGCCATGAGACAGTTTGTTTACATTGACTGGCTGCCTACAGCTCCCAGTGGCCACGGTTCGCCGTTCCCAGCCAATGGGAGCTGCAGGAAGCGGCGCAGGCTGGCCGCTGCTTCGCACAGCTCCCATTGGCTGGGAACGGCGAACCGCGGCCACTGGGAGCTGCAGGCAGCCATGCCTGCAGATGGTCAATGTAAACAAACTGTTTTGCAGCTCGCCAGCAGATTAACCTGATGGGCTGCAGGTTGCCCACCACTGCCTTGTAGGAACAGAAGGAACTGTTATATGTCAAAAAGAACTCTCGAATAATGTCATTAATCATTCATATTAGGACGATGAGTGTCTGAGGGTTCTCTGTGTGTAGGGGTGGGATACAGTATTTAAATAAAGGGCTTTTTCAATTTGCCTTGGAGGTACTTATTCATAGTTATGCATAGTAGTACTCTAAAGCTTTGTAAGGATAAGGCCTTTTCCTGTAGCCATATTGTAAAGCCTTTGTCTGCAGCCATATTAGGAGAGCAGCAGCCATTAGCTAAGAAGCAGGAAGTCACATCCTCACATTCCATCTAAATTATATGAAAACAATGTAATATTTGGCTAAGGAGATCCTGTCCTAATAGCACCCACTAGCACCAGAAAAAGAAACAGATCTTAAGATGGTTAAAAAAAAACACCTTAGTTTGATGGCATTCTGTCTGGCAAGAAACCACTTATCGATAGTTGTGGTTGTGTAATCCTCATTTCTTTATTGTTTTGTCTTTATGGTCCCCACTTCCCTATTGTTTATCTGTATGATCTCTGTCTGGTTCTTTGATTGTTTGTCTGTTGCATAATTAATTTTGCTAGGTGTAAATTAATTAAGGTGGCAGAGTATGATTGGCTAAATAACTGTTTTACAATGTTAGGATTGGTTAGTAATATTTTAGTAAAATGATTAGTTAAGGTACAGCTAAGCAGGACTCAAGTTTTACTATATAAACTGTGGTCCAAAAGGAAGTTCTTTGGGAACCAACTCCAGGACACAGCCCCAAGATCACAGCTGACAGACCTCAACATCTGCCAATGACACTGTGCAGAAACTGGAGTCCCCCAGATGACCTGAGCTTGACTGTCCATCAAGAAAAGTTCATCTCTCTTAATGGGAGTGGTGAGCACTGTATGTGTAGCGTGTGCATTCTGTTTTGGTGATTGTTAATAAATAGAGGTTAGGTAGGCTATTACTGTATAATGCGCTTTTGCTGGTAAAAGACCCTGTAAACCCGCAAAAAATTAAGCCCTGAGTCCACAGGGAATGGGTGTTTGCTCTGAGTCCACAGGGAATGGGTGTTTACGTGGTGGAGGAGGAGGAGGAAAGCCCAGAGACATAGAGCCTGGAGCCCACGGAGGGGTAAAGTTAGATGCCTTTTGCCTAGAGCCCTAGGAACTGGGAAAGGGTGGGGGGCCTAAATTAACTGGGTTACACCTGAGCCTTAGGAACAGGGTAAGGGTGGGTGCCCTAGAGTGTAAGGTTACGCCTGAGCCCTAGGAATGGGACAAGGGTGGGTGCCTAAATTAAGAGGGTTACATCTTGAGTCCACAGAAGGGTAAAGGTGGGGGCCCCAATGTGTGAGAGTAACAGAGAATTTTGTGCTGGTAACAGCTTTTAAGTGTGTCTGCTCATAAATCCTTAAGCTGTCAGAACCAACTAACTTCATATCTCAGTTCTCTCCTTGAAGAGTGCAAAACACTCAAATATAAGTTCAACTTACAGACAAATGTGTATTTTAAAAAGTACATTTCCTAGCAAGTTTACTGAAATAATACCCAAAGTATGCTGAGTTCTTACCATCTGTCCCCGTCATATGATGAATATTCTCGGCATCTTTTAAAGTTTTAACGTCTCCATTAGCTACAATAGGTATAGACATATTTTGTTTAATTATTTTAATTGCATCATAGTGTACTGGCTGATGTCGTTCTTCTACATTTCTCCCATGAACTGTAATCCAGGAAACTCCAGTTGCTTCAGCTTTTCGACAGAGATCTACAGTTCTCTTTAGATCATCATGGATTCTAAAATTCCAAGGAATGTAATAATTATCCTCACCATCAAACAGTTGTCTGAACTGCATGAAATCCCACCATAAGGCAGAATAAACAAGAATTGTACAAATGAAAAAAGAACATTATTGTTGGAAGATGAACTGATCTTTTATCATATAACACATTTTAATAAATTAATATCCCTTGATTTAGTATTATCCTGTTTAATCTAGTCACTAAAATTGAAAGGGTGTCAAAACTTTATAACAATTGCCAGAAACCCATGAGCCTTTTAAAAATATATAATTTTGCGTAATTCTGTACCAAAAATGAAATAACTCACATTTATATAGCACCTTTCTTTCTGAAAAATCTCAATCAACTTTAGATCTTTATTACATAAACTTTGCTGATATACAAAACCTACACAGGAATCAGTGCCTCCACCACTGAAATGCAACATGGCAACACATCACAATATTTTAGAAGTCAATGAAGTGAAGGATATCTTTTTCCAACTGAAACTGGAGTGGGAATTTAGGTAGGCAGAATGACTCAAGTTGAAATTTGATAAGGAATGTAATCAAATCTTTAAGCAATCATGATTTGTCAGGATCTATTTTAATACCTCATCTAAAAGACAGCTTCTCCAGCTGGACAATGCCATTAATACCATTCTAGATCTAGTTCTAAACTGATAGGAGGAAGAATATCACTAACTTACCAACATCATTTCTTGTCCCCCCTATGTTCCTTTGAGAGCTCCCATCCAAGTGGGAACTTGACCCAAGCTTCCTTAGGTTGGTTCAAAGCACTAGGTGATATGGTTGAATAAACAATACAAAACTATTCAACTAGCTTGTGATCATTTTACCTTTCCTGAATTCTGAGTTTTTAAAAAATGCATACCTTTTATGTTGTTTTGGATATCAGTGTGTTCTTGCAAACCAAAGCACACTTGACGACGTGTAGCACCAGAGAAACACTGATTGCAATTTTGTAGGATTACATGTCCCCAGATGTGTTTTGGATGAGAAAGAAAACAGATCCTGACCAGCTGGAGTTGTTAAAGATCTCAGGGTTGACCTACCAAAAAGCTGAGTGCGAGTCTCCACAGACCATGCTTACGGCACTTTTTCTATAAAGGTAATATTAACCCAACACATTTCCTGTTTTGCTTGATTAAATAATAAACATGCTTCATTGTCCTGAGACATAGTAGTGGTCTAAACTTACCTTATCTTAATAGATACTGAAAATCTGGGGTTCTCTACTTGATTTCTTACATGTCTCACCATATCTTGAACCAGCTCTGGTTTATTTATTAAACAAGCACCATAACCTTCCGCCATTGCCCATCTTTAAGTTAAAGAGAACAATGTTTGTATTGTATATTTGCAATAAAAGATCAGTTTCAACATAATGCACTATTTCAGTTTCCTTCTCAACACATTTGGTGAATTATTTTGTCAACAGGGAGGAAGGCAGAGATAGTACTGGCTATGGGTGAAAGATATTCTTATGGTTAAGGCTCAGGTCCTGGGAGATGTAGCTTCAATTCCTGGTTCTGCCACAGGATTTTCTATGTGACTTTGGACAAGTTACTTAGTCTCTCTCCAATTCCATTTCTAATCAGCTAAATTATAACATTTTTCCCCATCCCCTTGCCCCCAAAAGGGCATCATAGGAAAAATAAATTAACATTTCTGCGGCACTCAGATACAATGTGATGTGGGCCAATAAACAGTTAGATTTCTCTCAGGTTTCATCTTCTATGTAGAGTCATGGGCTGTTTTCAAAGAGAAATTACTTTTATGAGGATAAAGAATGTACTGTTGGAAAAAGGCCCTTATTTGTACGTAAATAATGTCCCTCTTAGTCTAACTGTGAAAACCATACCTATGAGAACAGCAGATGTACCGTTTTCGCTAACCTAATTGCAGCTATTTATTAGTATTTAAATCATTTGTCCTTATAGGCTCATTTTTAAATTAAAAACAAAAAACAAAACAAACAAACAAAAACCCCTAAACCAAAAACAGAACACAGATTTTCTTATGGTTTTGAAATTGAAAGCTTGGTCTCTTGGGTGGACTGTGCATAGAAAATATAACCATACAGCTTTGATCACATAAAACCTCTCAATTTGATATTTCAAAACAGCTGGGTTGGAAGATAGAAATGTATTAGTTTCTCTCTATGTGTAAAATTATTAGGAGATAATTGTTATTTCAAACCATGAGAATCTAATTAGACCACTTGAGTAATTAAATACTTGCACTTAATTACAAGTTACCTTTTATAGTTGATGTTTTCACTTTGTAAAATGTGTTTTGACTAAAACACCGCCAATACCACGTAATAGGCCTAACTTGAACCACTTAATAAATATTTTAACGTTTTCAATTGTGCATGTATATTTTCAGTCTGAACTGGATCATGACATACAAGAACAAAATCTGGAAGATTTTAAGTGAGGAGCAGATCACTGATCTCATTGACAAACATTTATCACCTAATCAAAGATGCAAATAGTTCTTCTAAGCATTCACTGAACATTAAACAATCACATGACTTAATACAGAAGGAAGAGTTATTTCAAAGGATATTCTTTACTAGTAGAAGTCTCTCAGGCATCAGGACTTACACCAACATTTTGAGAATAGCCACAAAGTTTCCCAAGTCATTTGCAATGAAGCTCTCATTCCCTGTCTGGGAAGTCAGCGTGCAGCATCTTTGATGTCACTGTTAATGAAACTTCAACAATTGTCCACCAAAGGTTGCCAATTCCCTATTAAGTCAACTCTCAACATAGACACAAAGAATGGCACATTGGTAATATGCCTGGACTCTACTGTCTCACCGATGCAGCATGTGTCCTAAGACTGCTCTCTGAATGCTTTCTCGGGAAGACAAATCAGAATTTCTACATTTAAGGACTACCATTAATCTATCACTATTTCCTTTGGATTTGGAAAACTAGGAAGTGATTTTTTCATTTTCATACTGATTGAAACAATTAGGAACATTCTTCCAACTTCTTAAAGTTTTACCTCTGAGGACAGCCACAATTTAGGTCTATTCCATCTGCAAAAGGACAGACGATACGGGCAGCATCAGATAAAACCTGTGCTTCATTAGCAGCAAACTGAACAATCAGTGGGCGATCACCTAGTCAAAGAGAGAGCTCTTTAGAATATACCATAACAAGAACAATGCATACTACATACGAAACTTACCCTTACTAATTCTTCAAGTAAGTCAACATAATCAGGTCTTTAACATAATCAGTATAACAATAGAAGATTTAAAAAAAATGGTAAACAAGAATTCTAAACTTATGAATGTTTTGTTATTCCTGGATAAAGTCCATCCCTTGTATATCTTCCTTTCCTGCATAATTGAAAATAAATTTCTAATAGCAATAGTATTTTCAATGTGTGTTGCCACAAGAAAATAATTTTTAGCAGAAACATTTATTTCTAAATTAGAATCCCACTCTTTTTACAGAATAAAAATAGTCTCCAATGACAGAAAGAGAGACAAGTATTTTTTTTTAAAAGATCTATGCAGACTTCATTTCTTATATTGCCTTATACTTGGATGTTCTGACACACAAAATATAAGGAAACATTAGAAAGTGTACAGAATAGGGTTCTTATAATGACATTTTAATAACCAATTAAGAAGTAAAGACATTCAGGGTTAAGTTTTAAATATATTTTTAAAGTAAGAAAATTGGAAGGTTATAGTTCATAAAACCTAAAATGTCAGCAAGTCTAGAAATAATAAAGGTTCTAGCATCAACCTTAATTACATTCCTTTAAACATATCTGATTTTTTTAAACACATGCCACAAAAGCACCACAAGACCAAAGAAAACTCTAAATATGGGATTATAAACTGCAAACCTAATCCTCTAATTAATGGCTGGAGACCAAACTCTCCACTGCCTTCATGGTACAAGCCACAGACCATATCTCACAGATGGATACTCCTGGAGGAATTCTGCACTACTGCATGCACATAATTAATGAGCCATGCATAGTTTTAATTTTTTTGCACAGAAAAGAGCTTCTGCTGAAATGTTACTGCAGTTCCACCTTTTGCCCACCGAGGACGCTGTGATGCAAGAACAGCAGCAGCTCCCAGCAGCAAATAACTTCTGCAGTTCTGCCTTTTGCCCACCAGATGGCGCTGTGGCGATAGAACACAGCAGCAGCTCCTGGCCAGCGAGGGAAGAGAAAGAACCTGCAGATTTTTTCGCAGTGGGCCAGGTCAGGAGACAGGGACTATGGGTGACAGACAGCATGGGTTGCTGGGGAGGGGGGCATCACACAGGGGCTCATAAGGGCTAGTGGAGGAGAAGAGACTGGGGCAGGGACTGAATGGAAGGGAGGTGCAGGGTCACATGGTGATGGGGGAGGGGATGCAGAGCTACATAGGGACAGGGGAATGGCTGGGTGGGGGCACAGAGACACATGGGGACAGGGGGAGGGGGTACAGGGACACAGAGATATGGGGACAGGGGGAGAGGGTACAGGGAGACGGACAGGAGGTGGCTGGGTGGGGGCACAGAGACATGTGGACAGGAGGAGGGGTACAGGGACACGTAGGGACAGGTGTGGGCACAGAGACACATTGGGACAGCGGGAGGGGTACAGGGACATAGGGACAGGGGAGTGGGTGTCTGAGTGGGGGTCGAGGGACACATGTGGACAGGGGCTGCAAGGACACATGGGGGTGCAGGGACACATGGGGACAGGGGCAGATGTGCCTGACTGAATGGGAGAAGCTAGGGGTCAGCCCGGGTCTGCATGGGGGAAGCTCCCTAACAATCCCTCTCCACCCCCCCCAAAAAAACTGTTCCATACTTTGCCCACCCATACACAACAACCCTCCAAGTTCACACCCAGGCTCCTTTCCAGCCATCCTTCCTTCTCCCTCAGCTTCTCCATTATCCCTGACTCCTCCAAGCCTTTGCACTGCTTCTGAGGGGTGTGGAAAATATGGTTCTGTATTTTAGTTTAAATGAATTATTACTCAGAGTTCTGTATTATTATGCTTAGTAAGGAATCTATTTGTCAAAAACATTTTCTGAATCTTTTTTGTTGTCTGTATTGTTACAGACATACTTGCTGACAGGTATTTTGAAATAAATGACCAAAAATAATTGAAACTGGTGTGATTATATTGTGTTATTTTGACAAATAAAATATGCAGAATTTTAAAATACTGTGTGCAGAATTTGTAATTTTTTTGGTGCACAATTCCCCCAGGAGTACGATGAAGCAATCTTAGGGGCAGATCCTCAGCTTGTGTAAATTAAATAAATAAAAAATATATGGAGATATACCTATCTCATAGAACTGGAAGGGACCCCGAAAGGTCATCAAGTCCAGCCCCCTGCCTTCACTAGCAGGACCAAGTACTGATTTTGCCCCAGATCCCTAAGTGGCCCCCTCAAGGATTGAACTCACAACCCTGGGTTTAGTAGGCCAATGCTCAAACCACTGAGCTATCCCTCCCTGTATAATTGTCAATTACTTCAATGGAATTGTAATAATTTACACCAGCTGAGTTCTGCTCCTTAATTTTACAAAGGCATCAGAGGACATCTGAAACCTCCAAAAAAGTTGGCAGGTTCAGATAACCAGAAGAATCAGTCATGTAAAGCTAAGCGCTGAAGGTCCCAAAGAATTTTTAAAACCACAAAAAAATGAAGCCTTGAATATAAGGTCCTGTGGAACTTCTAAGCCTTGAACTATAAAAATCTTTGCCATTGTACTTATAAGCCCAGAAATACTAAGGGCAGGTCTACACTACTACAGGGATCGACGCTCTGAGATTGATCCACCGGCGGTCGATTTAGCAGGACTAGTAAAGACCCGCCAAATCGACTGCAGATTGCTCTCCAGTCGATCCCTGTACTCTACCCCCGACGAGAAGAGTAAGGTAAGTCGACCTAAGGTACGTCGACTCCAGCTACGTTATTCACGTAGCTGGAGTTGCATAGCATAGGTCGACTTACTGTGGTAGTGTAGACATAGTGTCAGGTCTGATGCTCTTTATGTCTGCAAGGCTTAGTACCTCAGCAGCAGTGGTGCTAAAGGCTGGTCTACACTGGGCACTTACATCAGCATAGCTACTTCTCTAGGGGTGTCAAAAATCCATACTCTGAGAGATGTAGCTATTCTGATCTGATGACAGTGCCAGGTCTACAGAAGAATTCTGTCTATCTAGCTACCGCCTCTCAAGGCGGGGGATTACCTACGCTGATGGAAGAACCCCTCTTATCAGCGTAGGTAGTGTCTACACTGATGTGCTACAGCGGCGCAGTTGCAGTGCTGCAGCTGTGAAGCTGTAGCATTTCAAGTATTGACAAGTCCTGTGAACCCTGGAGGAATATAATCAACCTTCAGTTAACAACCGGAAAACAGAAGGTCAACTAGATTAACAGAATTTAAGGCTAGAAGGGACTGTCATGATCATTTAGTCTGATCTCCTGCATATTGCAGGCCATAGCACCTCACCCCTCTACTCATGTAATAGACCCCTAACCTTTGGTTGAGTTACTAAAGTGCTCAAATCATGATTTCAAGACTTCAAGTTACAGAGAATCTACTATCTAAGATCAATTATTGCATAAAATCCTCTGAAAAAGCAAGAACATATAAAATAAATACCTTTGCTTGTTGTGAATTCACTGTCTCTAGCTTTCACAGATCTGACAAAATCAGCAGCAATTATCATTGGTGTATAACACAAATCACAGTTGTATTTCCTGACCAAAGTTCTGAAAGCCAACCTGTGAGTATATGGACATTTGAATTGAAACAAACAAACCCAAAACATACATTGTTTTCCTAAATAAACTATTTTAAAATTAAATTATTTAAGTGCTTTTAGCCATACAGCACCTAATACAGTGGGGTGTCTAGGTATTACCACAGTATAAACAAATAAACATGCATGTTTTGAAGCATGTTTTCCAAACTGTTAAAAAAAGTAACCAGACTTATTTTTATACTTAACATATATTTACATGGAGAATCCATTGAAAGTGTATAGTTAAACATGATGTGTTACTTACTTTGAATATCGGACCATAGGGGCACATATTTTTACAAAGTGCCCGGAATGAAACAAATCTACTGGATCCTTTCGTTGACATTGTGTGGTTTCTATGGCGTCACTAATCATTTATGATTTTCAATACTATTTAAAATCTGGAAAAAGAAAACAATTTTTAAACAGAAATCTTACTACTTACTCCCAGTTCTCATAACATACAGCAATGGATAACTGTTCAAAGTTAGTTAACAAAAATGTTAATAGAATTTACACTAACTTCACAAGGAGGATGGGGGAGGTTAGGTTGGGGAGGCGGGGGGGAAAGGGTGGTTCCACCGCCAAGGTCTGGGGCTATGTCCTGGTGAGAAGTTAGTGTCCTGCTGTCCTCAGTTTGTGGGAAGCAGTTTATGGATTATATTATGTCTGTTTTAAGTATATCCTTAGTATGTGTCTTATATTTAACATTCTGCAACAGAAAGCAATACACCTACAAATATATTTTTGTTACATTTGTGCAACGCATGACTAAGATAGAAATCGGTACTTGACGCTCAGTTAACTGAATCTCCTAGAAATACAATAGAAAATATGCTCAGATACTTGGAAAAATTAGTTTATGCCACGGAGCTTGAGAAAGGAAGAGATATACTATACAGAGGATTTACCAATTTTAGCTCTAATTGCTGTCGTGAAAAATCCAATGCCCATGAATACGACAGAAGAAGTATACAAGACATCGTCAGTGACAGAAGGAAAAGACAGGGAATGGGGGGAGAGACAGGAACAACGGGAAGAAGACAGTGGGGAGGGAAAAGGTAGAGCAATAAGAGGACGGGGTTGAATGGCGCAGGGAACGATGCTGAGCCAGCTATGCCAGGCCTCCTCTCCCCAGCACCCAATACCGCCCCCCACTATCCTGCCCCCATCCTTCCTCTCCCTTCCCCCCCCCCCTTGTGCGCGCTCCCGCCCCTCGTAGCATCAATCTCCACTTCACCCGCGGCGGGAGGCAGGCGGAACATGCCAGGCCAGCACGACCTTTCCCCTCTGACCCTTCACCCCCCCCCAGCACCGCCCCTGCCAACAGACACCGCGGAGGCGCGGAATTCTGGCGTGGTCGCTAGGCGGTCGCTTTTGGATGACGTACGGGTCTCCGGGAGCTGCCAGCATGGAAGAGGCCGCGGCGGGAAGCGGCGGTGGTACCCCTGCCCTGGGACTGGCTCTCGGGGAGCTGCTGGGGGACGGTGAGGAGGGGCTGGCGCGGGGGGAGCAGGCGGTGCGGGACACGAGTGGCGGGTGCTGGAGCTGGGGAACCTGGGCAGCGGAGCGTCTGAGGTGAAGTGAGGGCACCGGGCAGTCGGGCTCTGCTGGGGGCACACAGGGCTTTGGGCAGCAGAGGGACCCTGCAGGGGACTGGCACCAGGCCAGTGGTGCGGGCTGTGTTGGGTTTGCCAGCCGGACTAGGGACCGGAGGCTGCGAGGCGGAAGAGTTGGAGGCTGCGGAGGAGTTTGCTCTGGTGGCAGGGGATCCCTGTCGCACCTGTCTCTGCTTGCGTGTCTGTCTTGCTGCTCCTGCAGGTCCCCATGCACCAAGCTCACTGTCTGTCCTGCTGGCTGGAAAGAGGGGGTAACTGCTCTTGCTGGGAGTTTTTCTAGTCCTTGTGCTTCAGGTTTATCGTGGTATCAAATGAAGTTGTTAGGAATTGTGTTGTTGCTAGTGGCTCTTAACACAAGAGATCCTGCTGTATATATTGTGAGGGGCAGAAGGGGGCTCCTTCTTACTGAATGTCCTGTTAGTCCCTGTATGCAAGGCTTTCTAGCTCAGGAATTCCAGGTTCCTAGCCTGTCCTCTGATTACATCTTCCTCTCTCTAAGAAGGGAGAACTCCGTATTTAAATTGTGCTGATGTTAGTGTCATCTTGTTATGTGGATTGATTGCATGTTGGAATTGCAGTCTCCTCTTTAAAAAGCAAAATCCCATTATGAGAGTTGTCTGTATGCTTCCTCTTCAATTTTTATCATCATGGCTAGAATAAACTAAAAGAGCTAGGAGATGTAATAAATCATTGTAATCATTGTTTAGTTCTGATGTGGATCACAAATGAAATTCTTTTGGTGGTTTTAATTTAGTTCCATATAAATTAATCCGTTTACAAGATTGCAACTGACTCCATCAAATCATATCACAATTGTCAGTTTTCTATTTGAGATTCTCAGTAGTTTTACTCTGGGTAAAACTTCATCTTACTTAGCTTACAAAATTCTGAAGAGGAAATGGGAAGTATAGTTTTAGTGTAATGCATTCCTGAAAAGGTGGCTTTATCCAGTTTTGGATTTAGGCAACAGGACGTGGGCAATAAAAAATAATGTGATCAAGTATGACTCCTTTAAATTCGCTATTTTTGCTAATGGTTGCTCCTTAAATCAATATCCAGTTATATTATAGAAACCAGACCACACCTGCTAATAACATGGGGTGTAGGTCTAGTGTACCTGCAGTTCTTTACATCCTTAAATACGTATGTAACTTTTGTGGTATGAAAAATAAACAGCTTAAAATATATTTTTCAGAATGTTACGCTGATTTTTTAAGAGAAGACTTCGATGTAAAGACTTATACTTCTCAATCTATTCATCAAGCTGTGATAGCTGAACAGTTAGCAAAACTTGCTCAAGGAATCAGTCAACTGGATAAAGAGCTTCACTTACAAGTAAGTGCCAGGTATATCATTTGTTTCAGGACAATCATGTACAAACATAGTTTAAAAGTTCAGTATTTCAGTCTTGCATGCTCCTAAAGTTTCCCCACATTCTCAGTAACTAGTGACTAAGGGTATGCCTACATAGCCCACAGCAGCGAGCCTCCCAGCCCAGGTCCACAGACTTGGGCTTGCACTAGCACTCTAAAAATAGCTGTGTACGCAGCATTTGAAATTGCCTCCCTAGTCTTCAGAGTCTGAGCTGCAATTTCAAAGCAGTGTCTACAGCTGTTTTTAGAGCACTAGCATGAGCCTGAGTCTGTTAACCTGGGCTAGGAGGCTAATTTCCATGGGCTACTTAGTCATATGTAGTGTGTGTCTTTCAAGAATGTTAACCACAGTGCTTGTTCGATGCACTTCCTCCTCTCTTCTGCTTACTGACATTTTCATTGGGAACCAGTTTTTAAAAAGTTACCTGTTATAAACATAAGACAAATCTAAATTTACATTATTGAGTGATCAAGTAACTGATACAGTGATTATTTGATACTTTCAGATAGATTCTGAGCTTCTTGAAGTGGGGATCATATGTAAAATAACTACACAGAGAGACGATGTACTAATGGATGATATGAAATATTCAGTAATTGTTGCAGTTAGCAAACACTGTAATAAATAGAAAGCTAAAATTATAAATGTAAGGGGTGTAGTTCTTTGTTTGCATAACCAGTGCCATTCCCAACACTAGTGCATCTATGTCTAGGGCCCTACTAAATTCATGGTCTGTTCTGGTCAGTTTCGCAGTCAGAGGATTTTAAAAATAGTCAATTTCACGGTTTCAGATGTTTACATCTGAAATTTCACAGTGTTATAACCGTTGGGGTCCCTACCCAAAAAGAGGTTGTGGGGGGGTTGCAGGATTCCACTCTTACTTCTGCTCTGCTGCTGGTGGGGGCGCTGCCTTCAGAGCTGGGTAGCACCCTTGGCTGGATGTCACCAGTCCTGCCCCTCCCCTACAATTTCCAGATATCGAGGGGGAGAAGAGATCAGGTTACACAGTTTGTGATGCATTTTTTACGGCCATGAATTTGGCAGGGCCCTATGTATATCTATCAAGTGTAGAATACACCTGTAAATCTGGGATTTTCCTCATAGGAATCGCATTTTCATACTATTAGTGTTTGTTAGCAGAAGTAATAGAACAGCAATACACTTTTCTCAGAGCTTCATGAAAGATCTCCCTCCTTGTGTGGAACATCCTTTGACACCAATAGAAGAACATTCATGTAAGGAGAGCAGAGTTTCAGATCTACTGTGCATATCTAAGAGGATGATTGTCCTAAATATAGAATTAACTGGAAATACTTTACAGGGTGTGGTGACACTGTGGGCTAGTTAGAAGCTTCTCTCTTCTAGAGACTTGTGTAAATGTTTTGTTCATGTCCCAACTGTATAAGAAACTTGAATTTTTCTCAATTTATCCCTTGTAAATGTTTTTCCACATCTCATATTTTGACACAACTGGCATTCTGGGTTTAGAAAAATCCAGGATTTAGTTAAATATGTGAAGAAGGCAAGGGCTAAGTTTAATCACTGGATGGTGGGTAAATTTAAACATCATCTGCTGTAATCTGCCTGGCTAGACCAGGTGCTGAACATTAATTCAGAAAAAAATAAGTGAATAAATAAAAAGTTTGTATTAATAAAATGTTTGTGTCCTTAAAGCATAAACTATATCAGTTTGGTGCTGACTGTGAAGAGTCTCATCTGATTTAAAATTTATTATGGACACAAATGAGTTTACAAGGTAGAGGGGTTTGTCTGTAAAGCAGGTGGGAAAAATAGAGAGGTTTCTTATCACTCAGGGATTCTTCCTACCCTAAGAATTACTTTTCTCTTCTAAGCCCACTCATGGATATATGCTTAAAGAAAATCTGAGTTTGTATTTTTGGAATTAGCCTTGCAAATAATGATTGGTGGTCTCATTTTTCAGGTAGTTGCAAGACATGAGGACTTATTGGCACAGGCAACTGGGATTGGATCTCTGGAAGGTATAAATTCATTTTATGCCGGTTAATTTTTAGTATAATGGAGGCACTGTTAATAGCTTCATAGTTAAAGTGGCATCAGACTGTTGAGTAGTAATGTTACTCGACAGAGGTCTTACTTTATTAACGCATGGCAGTTTTCTTTAATGTCAGCAGATGGAGCTGCAAGGAGAGTATTTTGTTAATACATTTTTAATGTAATTACACTATAGAAAGATTTGTTAATGGAAGGAATGTTCTAAGCAACTTAAATAATGCAATCAAGTTTCTGTAAGTATCTTAAAAACTCACATTGTTCTAAAAATTCCATACAGTAGCCTCCAGTCTATCAACTAACACACCATACAGCGACATGTTCCACCATTCACAAAGTTAGTATTCATGGCAACATGTTTCTAATGTCATTTAATCTACAAATAAAACCCAAAGTAGTTATTTTGTGGTCTTAATTGCATCACTTCCTTTTTGTAGTAAGAGGCTGCCAAATTAAATACAGAATTTTGACTCCACTGATTGGGGTCTGGTATAATACCAATTGCTGACCCAAAAGTCCTAATTTGGGAACTATCATGTCTACATGAAAAACTGGTCATTATGTGTTTTTTCAAAATAGATATAAGGTTTCAGACTCTCACTTACTTTAAGATTACATTTTGGGTCCCATTAGCCCAGGGGTTCTCAAACTGGGGTCAGGATATTACATGGGGGTCACGAGCTGTCAGCCTCCACCCCAAACCCTGCTTTGCCTTCAGTATTATAATGGTGTTAAATATATAAAAAGGTGTATTTAATTTAGAAGGGGGGGTTGCATTCAGAGGTTTCCTATATAAAAGGGGTCAGCAACACAAAAGTTGGAGAACCACTGCATTAGCCCTTACAGTCTTGCTAATTTCTTCCTAACAGTCTTGCTTGGTGGCATCTGCAGATTTTATGAGCATACTCTCCACTCCCTTATCCAAGACATGTAATGCAAATATTGAATGGTACTGATCCCTGCAGGACCCCACTAGATATGACCTCCCAGTTTGACAGCAAACCATTGATAGCTACTTTCTCAGTACAGGCTTTCAACCAGTTCAACAATTATAGACTTGGTTAAAGTTGATGAATGTGCTAACTGGATGCCAG